ATCTCAAGGTGTGTGCCCTGTTCTCAACCAGTGGCCCAGTCCCCATCTTTTGCCACTTAATCTTGGTCCCTTTCATAGCCAAGTTTTTAAAAGTCAAGTGCAAATTGGCCCACTGCTACATTTCTGTACATCCAAGGGAGGGGGGGCTTGATTGGCCGTTCTTCCCTCTCCTTGTTATTTCATCCCAATTTGACTCTCCGACCACCTTCTGTCTTCAATAAAAGGCAAGATGCAAAGCGTGTCCCTTAATCTCCAAACCAGCAGCTCACTGCTGAGAAAATGATATAGAGGTAACTTCCAGCATCATACACTTTCTTTTCCATTTATATGCAAATACCGACCTTTCACCCAGGCTGTCTCGAAGAAGTATTTCCTTAAAAATGCAAATGGCATGTTTCTGGCAGTTGCTCCGGCTGAGGCTTTCTTATGGTATTATTACTATTATTATGTCTTTTAACCTTGCCGGGGCTGGAAAAACAACTGCCAAACAACGCCCTAGCAGCTATTTATTTTCCCATCCTAAATCCCAGGCTGACCAATTAGGTGATGGGGGAGTTGCAGAAACAATGCGGGGCATGGTGAACCTGGAGGGCACTCACCCGGCGGTTGTGCAGCACAGGTGAAAGGCCAGCGGTGGAATGGGAAGAGGCGCTGGGGCGAATGAGCCCAACAGACAGGTAGCCCCATCCTCCATCGCCGTGCTTTTCATGCAATGATTCCTCCCGCTCCTGCGATTCAACAGCCAGAGGCTCTGCAGAAATGTTGGACTGCAGCTTACCTTGCTCCCAGCTAACATGGGTGTTTGCCAGGATGGGAGCTGGCGCCCGATGTACCTGGAGGGCACCGGGTTGGAGGACGCTGCGGTGCACATGGCTTTGCCGGCAGCTGGCTGAATGGACAAAACCTTGGCTCAGTTCCAAATCCCCTCAAAGGCGCCAAGAGGAAGGAATCCTGTTGGAATTGCCGAAATTCTGAGGTGAAAGACACTCCCTTTCATGGGGCTCTGGAACACCCATGGCCAAAACAAAAGCATTCTTTTAAATCCCCCCACCGGGGGTTTTTATGTGGCGGGGGCCCAGTTCATATCTTAAAAACCCCCAATTCCACATGTTAGATACCAGTCTAGATCACAGAAACATAGAAACTGAGCAAGTCAGAAGGGGCCTCCCAAGCCATGTAGTCTGACCCCTGGCTCCAGCTGGCTCCACTCATGACATGCCCACCATGTGCATGTCTAGCCTATCCTTGAACACCCACACTGATGGGGCCTCTACCACCTCTCATGGAAGCCCATTCCACACCCTGGGGGTCCTAACTGTCAGGAAGTGCTTCCTGGCATCCAGATGGGACCTTGGTTCCCTGAGCTTTGCTCCGTTGGAGCACATCCTGCCCTCCTCTGCAGGGGAGAACAGGTCTCTACCCACCTCCATGTGACACCCCCTCACATACCTGTATGTCGCCAACAGATCCCCTCCGAGTCTCCTCTTCTCCAGGCTGAAGAGACCCAGCTCCCTCAGCCTTGCCTCATACGGCATCCCCTGCAAACCGGCCACCAACCTTGTGGACCTTCGCTGCACTGACTCTAACCTGCCCATGCAACTAATTTTTTAAAAGATGTAGCTCCTCAATACAGATTCAAAGTAATGGCTCTTTCAGATCTCAGATCAGGGTGCCGACTATCTGGGGAAGGCCGGGCTCCTCCTCCTTTCTCTTCTTGCCTTGGCCATGTCTCCTGCTCCCAACCCATCACCCACAGCTACTTCTTGAAAGCACTCCCTCTTTGTTCAGCGACAGGATGGGACTGCTCTCCTCCCCTAGTGTCCTCTACTAGCAGGCCATGTACTCATCCCACTGCCCTCCTTTCCTTTGTCCTGGTGCCTGCAGAGTTGACCCCCGTTATGCCCAGCTGTCAGTGGAAAACACCTTGAAGGCGTGTTTCACTCCTCGGTGAAGTTCTGGCCCACCTGAAGCAGCAGCTTCCTCTCCACCCCTCTTTCTTCTCTTGATTAGGAGAGGGAAGCAAAAACAGGGCTTGTGTATCGAGCCTGAGCCACCCTCGAGCTTCCATGCAGGCCACCGAAGAAGGAGCCAGCAGGAAGGGGCAGGCAAACCCTTCCCGGGAACGCCGGGCCTTTCTCTAGGGTCCTGTGCAAGCTGCATGCTATGCATAGTTCTGGCTCGGCTGCTCCGGGAGAAGGGCCTCGTGTCCGGTGTCCAGCGATGGGAAATTCCATCCGGCCATTGTTCTGTGGCCCTGCCCACCAGGGATGTGCCAGGAATACATTTTGCAGGTGGGAATCCATTGGATTCCCTGGGCTCAGCTCCTCAGACTCTGGTCCACTTTGTCTCGGAGTGCACATGTCCTGCATCTGTGGGGCACTCACCTGGAACTGCGCCCCACATGCTGCACGAGCCGTGTGCCCCTGATGCACCACTCACAGCAGCCTCCGCTTGTGCTTCAGAAGGTTGCCGGTTGTGCAGGCGCTGCCCCACAAGCATCCGTGGACGTCTTCTTGGCTCGGCTTGCTTCCCAAGACCAGGCTGAGCGCAAGAGGAAGTCCATGAAGCCTGGAGGGACAGATCACACTTACTGTCCACATCAGTGCAAGCATACCTTTGAAGCTATAAGGCCGGGGAGCCAAACATCCAGCCAGGAAACAGACCCCTTCCCCTGGTCCCACCTGCTTTTGGGGGACAGGACAATGACAACAGTGATGATACCAGCTTTTTAAAAAATGATTTGCATCCACGAATAGCCTCTCCAAGGTGCAGCGTGAGCACGTTGAAGACACTTTTGATGGCGGGCAAAATGGGGGTCCTCAAAAGCCAGCTGTCAAACTGGAGATGGTGATCTCCATCCAGGGGAAAGAGGCACGAAGGGACAAAAGGTGTGTCGAGCCAGAAATGTGCTGCGATTCAGCGGGGGGCAGGTGGGTGTTCCGTGACGTTCCCTGAAAAACGCACCGTGAGAATAAGAGGCAGGGGATGCAGACCACAGTGAGACCGATCAGCTGTCGGCCACGTTGTGGCTTCTCGCTTCCTGCTGGGGCACGTTGCATCATGTGAACTCACCCGGTGTGTTATTGCTGGATCGCCCCTTTTGCGTGTTTTCTGTACCAAACGCTGCCATGCTTAATTGCCCTTTGTTTGTTTAATCTCTTTCCCGCTCTCCTTCAGGGGAAAAAAGACCTACATCCATTGTTTCTGTCCCACGTGAATATTATTTACTTAAGCAAAGCATTGAGTGATGCCTGGAAAATTTAGCTCTTGAAGCGTGCATTTAATTTAAACCCTAATACAGAATGTTAAACTGTATATTGCACCACTAATAGCTAATCATTAAAACCTATTAATTGAGGTTTAACTGCTGTGTAATAGAGATAAATGATGCTCCCTCCGTCAGTAAATATGATGTAATATCTGACTGGAATAAAAGTGATGCCAGCCACAGTCTATAAATAAGGAAAAGCAGGCATAATTTCTTAGGAAGAGGCTGCTAACAAAACAAACATGCCCCAGACATTGCTGAAAGCCAGTAGGATGGCTATGTATCTAGATTTTGGTTACATTTCTATCCTGCCAAATAGCCAAAGCTCTCTGGGTAGTTCACACCAATCAAAGCTATAAAACTCAACATGATGGAATACATTTTAGAAGTTTAGAAGTACAATATAAAATTTTAAAAATAGTAACCCAGTAGAACTGGGTAAAAGCACAAAGATTTAAAATATGGTACCAGATTCAATGCCGGAGGAGACTTCTGCGAGTCCCTTGGACTGCAAGGCGATCAAACCGGTCAGTCCTAGAGGAGATCAACCCTGACTGCTCTTTAGAAGGCCAGATCCTGAAGATGAAGCTCAAATACTTTGGCCACCTAATGAGAAGGAAGGACTCCCTGGAGAAGACCCTGATGCTGGGAGCAATAGATGGCAAAAGAAGGAGGGGACGGCAGAGGATGAGGTGGCTGGAAGGAGTCACTGAGGCAGTTGGTGTGAACTTAAGTGGACTCCGGGGGCTGGTGGAGGACAGGAAGGCCTGGAGGAATGTTGTCCATGGGGCCGCAATGGGTCGGATGCGACTTTGCGACTAAACAATGAACCAAATTCAAAAGAGATCCCCATTGGCCCCACAATTCCCTTTGCATTGTTTCCCTTTCCTTTTGAAAACATATTCTAACATAGGCTCAGAACTGTATCATTTTCCCAAGCGATCCTCATCCCCACCCTGAGCCCCGGTTTCAATTCCTCCACTGTCTAAGGAACTGTGCAGGCCAATGAGGAAGAAGCCGGTGGTGTTGGCGGGGAGTGGTGCATCTTGGGATTGAGTTGCAGTCGCAGTGGCTGATGGGATGCATGTTCCCAGCCAGAGGTTGGCTGGGGAGGAGGATGCAATCCATGCTAACATAGATACCACCAGACTGTCTGTTGTTTAGATAGTGGAAGAACCCTGTGAACTTTGACAACCATGCAGGTTGCTTGTTACATTGTGTGAAGCCAGCGATAGCGGATGCTCCAGAGATTTCAATCCTGGCATGGAACCAGGAGGCTGCATGGAGGAACGTGGTCTTTGGCTTGTGGTCTTGCAGGACTGCCTTCATCTGTGTGCTATTTTGCCACCAGGCAGCTGGAGAACGTGGCTCATGGGTGTCTCTTTTCTTTAGAAAATAATCAAAATGTTTCCGTCCTGCTGTTGTGCTCAGAGGTGATGCAGCTGCTCAGAGCATCCCTTTGCTTCAATCCTGGCCAGTCCACGATTGTGATGGTACAGGAAGAAGTGGCAGGGTGGGCAGCCGGCGGTGCAGCTCAGTTCCAGGGACAACTGGCCGTACCAGGACATGCTGCAAAGCTGAGCAACACAGCAGGATAAGCAAGCCCCGTTGTGGCCAGTGACTGGTGGTGGAGTCACCTTAGAAGTTCCACAGGGAGAGTAAAATGAGGTCCAGTCCTGATGAGCAAATGCCAGAGGGAGCGCACTGCTCGAGGTTGCTGCTCTGGGGTCTAATGCGCCTTAGAGGTAATTAGAGAGCGCTCACAGAATCCCAGGATCTTGGCCCCTACATGCTCCACCTTGGACAGCGAATCCCTTGCAGTTGTCTGGTGGCCTTAAAGACCACGCCGACCTCCAGAAATTCTGCTCTTGCTAAAAGGTGGGGTGCAGATCAGAAGGGGCGCCTGATGGTTGTTGGAGTGGAGCTTCCAGCAGGCCAAGGAAGTATGGTCAGTGGTGAAGGATGATGGGAGTTGCTGTCCAACAGCACTGGGAGGGCCACCTCAAGGATCTTTCACCTGGACTGAATTGGACTGCTGGCCTGCCAGTGCAAAGTTGGAGAGGAGAGGAGAGGAGAGGAGAGGAGAGGAGAGGAGAGGAGAGGAGAGGAGAGACCCCGTGACAATCCACCCAGGCTGAAGACCGGGACTCCTAGAGCGATTGCTTGAGGGTACTTGCGAGGTTCTGCCATCGGCCTCTGTCAGCTGCGGCCCTCGTTGCTGATGCTCTCTCTTTCTCTTCCGTCCTCAGAAAATGAGTACCGAGGCAAACTGCTGAGTCAAAGGTGGACCCGTGGAGAAAAGATCAGCAGTTGCGAGACAGCAAAAAGCCTCCACAGCGGGCACATCAAGGTGAGAACGCAAATCGTCCTCAGAAAAGAGCTGTACTAGACCCAGCCGAGCTGGTGCATCACCAGAACCAGGAGGCCGAAGTGCATTATCATTAATGTATTAATTAATTTCATTTCTATGCCACACTTAGTAAAAGCTCTCTGGGCAGTTTACAACAAAGGATAAAAGCAGTAAGTGCGGCATTTACATATGTAAATGTATACACACGGGTACACATTTAGAAATGGTAGCTATAATTGAAATAGAAGTGCAATCTATCTCACCACAGTGTGGAAGGTGAGCTTTGCACCTGTTGCTCTGGGGCTAAGCACCGACGGGATGGCTCTCCTAGCGTCTGCTTCTTTGACTCCAAACCAGGAGTTGACGGGACCCCTCTGAAGGGAGGCTTTTCCTCTGCAAACTAGGACGTCTGCCCATCGTACTGGTCAAAACATAGCCACACGTGTCCCACACAGCTCTGCATGACCAGAGGCTGGGATTCTGGCCATTAGCTTAGCAGGTTATCAAAACCAGGGGAATAACAGTCTGCAGGTCTCTGGGTGCCAGACTCTTGTCTGGATCATTGTAGGAAATTTGGAAGCTCCACCCTTGGAAAAGTCCCCGGGGTCTGAACTGCAGCTCTGAATTCAGGGATGTGTTCACAGCTGCTGCTGTTCTTTCTGAATTGCAAGGGTAATTTCGGAGCCAGCATTGGGTGGTGGGTTTTCAGGGGATGGGGAGGAGAAGTGAAGCTCCGCCAGGATATAGGGTTCCTCCTCCTCATGAGCAAGCCTACAGCACTTAAACAACCACAATCAACTGATGAGTGAGTTGTAGACCATCCTTGCCTCCGTGCTCCTCCCATCATCCTCCAGTGCATGCCCATCATCCTCCAGTTCAGAGAATGGGCAGCCATATTGGATGGTGCCCACAAGGGCTTTGTCCAGGGCCGTATGTGTCTAAATTCCAGCTACTGGGGAAGGTTGCTACCTTGGTGCCCGTGAGCATATCTGGCTGGATGCTTTTGAAATCAATGCACGGCCTGAGCACATGGGTGAGGGTCATTTTATTTATTTATCTTATTTATTAAAACATTTCTATGCCGCCCCATTCGCCAAAGCCTCGGGGCAGCCCACAACATTAAGCTAAAATACAAACATTGAGTTAAAACATTCACTTAACATAACATTAAGCTAAAATGTTTGTAAAATACAAACATTAAGTTAAAATACAAAAAATAACAATATAAAATAAGTTTCACACACAGCCCCGCATCCATACTCCTTCTCCATCCACCCCCACCCAAATGTCCCAAAATTCCATAGAAGCAGACAGGCGCCGCGATCTAACCTTGGCCCTTCAGGTGTTTCGACCTCAGTTCCCATGATTTCCAGCCAGCATAGCCATAGGCCAAGCAGCCTGGGTACCATGGGCCTTGTAGTCTGACACATCCAGGGGGCACCAGGCTGTGCAACATTGTCATGCACATTTATCTAGGAGTAAGTCCTGCAGAGCTCAGTAGGGCCACTCTCAAGACACACGCACTGGAAGTTCTTCCTTAACCCCCATTAAACTGGCAGTGCTTGAGCACTGGTGCCCAGTCCTCCCTTCCATCGGGGTGGGGAACCTACAGCCCCGAGGGCATTGGCAGCTAACTCTCTGCAGGCAACCAGCCCAGATTTCTGGAAAAAGCATGTTGCCTTTGCCCAGCTGTATGGGGTGGGAAGGGAGAGGGAGAGCAGGTGACAGGAAACGGAAAGGCGAGCAGAGGAAGGGGCAGCAGGGGAGGGGAGGCCCCGCCTACTTTTGGTTCTGGCCCCACCCACCATGGACTTTGGCCCCGCCCACTGCCAGTGTGCAGTCCTCATCGGATGGCCTCTGAAGAAATGTGTGACCCACGACAGAAATTAGTTACTCCGCTTCTGCCCTGCATATTCTTGGATCATGAATCATGCCTGGTTTTGTTTTGTTTTTTTTTGGCATTCATAAAAATCACATACTTAAATGCATATTTAAAGAAAAGCAATGTGATTTTTGCATTGCTGTAGACCAAGGGATGGGCGCAGAATCTCTTTTGTGTGGAAAGTCCACCAGATTCCCTGGTTTTGGCTTCCCAGATTCTGGCCCACTTTGCAGCAGCCCGGTCTGAGTTCCTGGTTTATTTTACCTTGTATAAACAGCGGCAGCAGTCTATATGTTTCATTTCTCACCATATCACCAAAATACTCCCATTTTCTGCAATTTCTATGTTTTATAATTCCTCATTACAGGAAGGATATAGCCACGTTAGAGTCAGTGCAGTGTAGGGCCACAAGTTTGCAGGGGATGGGGTAAGAGGCGAGACTGAGGGAACTGGGTCTCTTCAGCCTGGAGAAGAGGAGACTCAGAGGGGATCTGTTGGCGACATACAGGTATGTGAGGGGGTGTCACATGGAGGTGGGTAGGGACCTATTTATTCCAACGGAGCAAAGCTCAGGGAACCAAGGTTCCATTTAGATGCCAGGAAGCACTTCCTGACAATCAGGACCCCGAGGGTATAAAATGGGCTTCCACGAGAGGTGGTTGAGGCCCCATCAGTGAGGGTGTTCAAGGATAGGCTGGACATGCACTTGGAGGGCATGTCATGAGCAGAGCTGGCTGGAGCCTGGGGTCAGACTAGATGGCCCTGGAGTCCCCTTCTGACTCAGTTTCTGTTTCTATGCATTCTCTTCACTCTCTTGGGCCATGAAATTTGTGACATCCTGCTATAAAGCCACATGTCTATCTTTTTCATGGCAGTCTGTGTTAAGCACAATTCCATGCCATACAGTAGCACTGAAAATGCCTAAAATACACAGTACATATTATCAGGACTATTTTTAAGTTTTTTTTGTTACATGTTACATTTCCCATCTTAAAAAGCTACTCTGAGCCTTCCTTATTTATTTATTTATTTATTAAAACATTTTTATGCCGCCCCATTCGCCGAAGCCTCGGGGCGGCTTACAACATAGATAAAACAAGTTAAAATCCATATAAAATAATCTTAATTAAAACACACATTATAAAATAAGCCGCCCTGGCCAGATAAAATTCAATTGTATTTAGCATTTAAAATGTTGCTTAAATAAAAAGGTCTTAGCCTGGCGCCGAAAAACAAATAACGACGGCGCCAGGCGGACCTCTCTGGGGAGCGCATTCCATAACTTAGGCGCCACCGCTGAGAAAGCCCTTCTCCGAGTAGCCACCCTCCTAATTTCTCTCACGGAGGGCTCCCGGAGAAGGGCCTCTCCCGCCGATCTCAGGGGGCGACTGGGCAAATATGGATGTAAGCGCTCCTTCAGGTAACCAGGACCCAAGCCGTTTAGGGCTTTATAGGTCATTACCAACACCTTGAATTGGGCCCGGACTTCAATGGGGAGCCAGTGAAGCTGACGGAGAACTGGCGTCATGTGAACATAACGTCCAGTCCCTGTCAGCAGCCTGGCAGCTCTATTCTGAACCAATTGAAGTATCCGGACCGTCTTCAAGGGTAGCCCCACGTAGAGCGCGTTACAGAAGTCAAGACGGGAAGTCACCAGCGCATGAGTCACTGTTGCAAGGCAGTTGTACTCCAGGTAGGGGCGCAGCTGATGAATCAGCCGAAGCTGGAGGAAAGCGCTCCTCGCCGCTGTTGTCACCTGAGCTTCAAGTGAAAGCTCCGGGTCGAGGAGCACTCCCAAGCTGCGGACCTTGTCCCTAGGAGGGAGTGCAACCCCATTCAGGACAAGGTTCAGGTCACCTTCTCCGAAGCCCGAACCGCCAACCAACAGGACCTCCGTCTTGTCTGGATTGAGCTTCAGTTTATTGGCCCTCATCCAGCCCATTACCTCGGCCAGGCACCGGTTCAGTACAGCCACTGCCTCACCTGGATTGGTGGAAAACGAGAGGTAGAGCTGGGTATCATCAGCATACTGATGGGTCCGCAGCCCACACCTCCTGATGACCTCTCCCAGCGGTTTCATGTAGATATTGAACAGTAAAGGGGACAAAATGGAACCCTGCGGTACCCCATGGCAAAGCTGCCATGGCGCAGAGCCATAGTCCCCCAACACCACCTTCTGGAATCGGTCGTTGAGATAGGAGCGGAACCACCGCAAAGCGGTGCCTCCGACCCCCAATCCCGCCAGCCTATCCAGAAGGATACCATGGTCGATGGTATCGAAAGCCGCTGAGAGGTCCAGGAGAACCAACAGGGACGCACTCCCCCTGTCCTTCTCCCTGCACAGGTCATCGTACAGGGCGACCAAGGCAGATTCAGTACCGTACCCGGGTCTGAAGCCGGACTGAAATGGGTCCAGATAATCAGTTTCATCCAAGAGTGCTTGGAGTTGTCCCGCCACCACTCGCTCTAACACCTTGCCCAGAAACGGGATGTTGGCCACTGGTCTATAGTTAGCGGCCATCCCTGGATCCGCTTATTCTAACTTTTATTTTTTTAGATCATGTGCGATCCTCATTTCACTGACTTTATCAAATACTCTTTGTTATCTAATTTTTAGCTAGCAGTACTCCATTATCTGCATATCAAATGCTATTGATAATCTCTCATTAACAGTGATATCGTCATTGAAATCAGGGAGTTCATCTTTAAAGATGTTCTTGGAGTACAAATAAAAGCAAGGAAGAAGGTATGCGTCCTTGCCATACCCTCTTTGTAGCTCTTTATTTGCTGTCATCTGAACTTCAACTTTCACTGCAGCTTTTTGTTACCAAGACAAGTTTATGATACCTCTTGAATGGAAGTCTTTGCTTACCAGCAGCTTCACTTACTTTGCATGTTCTACTTTGTCAAAAGCTTTCTCACAGCCAGTAAAGCAAGCAATGTTCATGCTTTCTGCATCTTTCCCCAAGCACACATATGCGGAATAATGCTTGCCTGGTTCTGAATTTGGCTCTTCGGAAGCCAAATTGTGTTTCCTGCTCCCTCTTCATGTTACTTCCAAATTCTACCATGCATTGTTTTCAAGAAAACCCTTTTTTAAGTTTCATCCAATGTATGA